CCCAAATAAAGATTAAAAAAACAAGATAATTTGTTAGGTGCTGATAAAATACATATTCAGACTCTTAACAGGCCTTTTTGTGTTTTTTAAGTGGTAATAATTATTTGTATTTTAATTCCATCCCCATTAACATTTTGAATATTTTACTTTGTGGTTGTCCAGAGACATAAAAGGCATTTACTAAAAACATAAAAAACTGCATAATGGGAATCCTATAGCCCAGACATCTACCTGGTATCCTCACCGTACTATTAAGCCTTTACTAGTGAGCATGTAGTATATTAGAGTTAAGAACTGTTCTGATGCAGATGCCCTGGAAGAGGAATAGAGTGTTCCACAATCTCAGCTGAAAAAAAAGGGATTATCCACAAAAAGCTTGAGATTGTGAGAGGGTATAGTCTCAGTCAGCAAAAGGAATGGTGTACAAGCAGGACTTTGGATATTTTAAATTGTGGTGGTCCAGAGAAATGAAAGGTGTCTATTAAAATATACAAAAACTATGTAGTAGGAATATTTTATGGAGAGGCTACAGTTGTTTTCTTCATCATACAATAAAGTTTTACTAGGAGGTAAGTATTTTCGAGCTAGGTAGAATGGTTCTGATGAAGATGACCAGGGAGAGGAACATGGTGTTTCACAGTCTCATCTGTGGGACGGGTTATCCACAATGAGCTGTGGAGTAAGCAAGGGGTATATTGTCACTCAGAAATAGAACTGATCTATTTAAAGATGTAAAATGTCCCAGTGGTACAATCAATGTCTTTACTTTTCTTGTCACTTTTAATACCAAGTACTGAGGTTTTAGATGCTGTAAAATGAAACCAATATTTTATATTAAATAGCTATATTAGAGGACTGCAGGTTTGTCAGTCAGAAGTCTCCTCTTTTATGAAGATATTATCATAGCATTTTGTAGCCTAGGAGCAAAAGTCAGGAAAAATGCATACTGTTAGCTTTTCACCAGATCAGGAATAAGGGGGAAATCGTTCTATGGGGACTCTTGTTCTGCTAAAGCTGTCTAAAAGAGGGTTTTATCTTTCCTTGAAGAGTACTTCTCTCTCCTCCTGTCACATCCCTTGATAGAGAATGTAAAGAAAAAATCTCTCAATGAGACACAGGTAGCAAGCAAGCAACACTTGAAAGGGTGTTTTACCATTCTCTTCTTAAAAAAAATAAAAAGAACTTTCAGATTTAGATACACTTAGGCTGGCCATACACTATACAATTTTCTTGAAATTTTTGCTTTAGATTTACCAAAAACCATTTAATAGGAGGTCAAACCTCACAACACTTTCAATTGTACCCAATTAGGCAAGCCCTTGCACTACATATTTGAAGGTAAATCTAAAGGAAATTGGGCAGAAATTGGACAGAAAATTGTATAGTGTATGGCCAGCCTTATCAGCAAACAGTTATCAGGTTGCAATACATTTATGGGAATGGTATAATTAAACTTCTGGGATAGATTTTATATAAGGACAATACACTTTTCTTTTTTTTCCATACAGAGTATTGGAAATGGAGGACAAGAGGAAAAAAACGAAGTCCCAAGGTGTGTGTAACCCAGACACTTCCACCTGCACCCCTGAGAAAACCCATTGCACCTCCATGTAAGAGTGCCACATTCAGCCTTGGACTCCCACACCCACCTTCTCCAAAGCAGAGAAGTAAGATCAAGAGGTAACTATCCTCATTCTGAAATATTTAGCCAAAAATACATTAGGTAAGGTTGATCATAAGATGTTCTTGGGAATGCTTGTACATCGAAAGCATTGTTCTCTGTAGTTAGCTTTGCTGTGCTTTAAAAGTATAAAATAAATAAAAGAGGGGTGTAGATTGTGAGAAGGAACCTGAATATCCACTGTTTGTGATAAAAAGGAATTGGGTTTTAATGTAGATTAGTTATTGTACTAAATGTTTACATTTTTCTTGCTGCAATGTAGGAGTAAGCAAGTATTTGGTAGGATATAATATTGTGAAAATCTCTTCCTTGTTTGTACTTTCCTCAGGGGCATTAAAGAGCGCCCTCGACCCTCTGCACCATGTGAAGTAGTGACTTCTGCACCTAGCCTGCAACACTCTTTCCTGACTGATGTTTCCCATGTCTGTGAGATGGAGGGTGGTCTTCTAAGCCTTCTCAACGATTTTCATTCCGGAAAACTTCAAGCATTTGGTAAAAATGGCAGGAGGAAAGTTGTAGAATAAGTGTAAGGTTTTATTGACTTAAACCCACAACAGTAAAATCAGTCTGTATATGCAGTAAAGCATGCTTGTTATACTCACTGTGCGACCTAAGGGGTTAATCCTCTGCATTGTGTAAAAAGGATGTTTGATCCTGTCTTCTCTGATCCCTCCCTTCTTCCACAGTCCCCAATCCATCTGCTGATAGAACAAAACTTTGGGGCAAGCTGCACATACGCAGTTTGATGTGTATTGCTAGAGAGTTTATTTTTCTTCGGGAGGGTGCATGTGATTAGCACAGGGCTAATTAGTACTGTCCAGAAATCCTAATAGGGCAATCAAGGGAGAATGAAAACTCCTCCTACATGCTTTAAGCAGTGCTCTGCTGGACTGCTGATGAGAAAAGGTATTTGGCAGTTTATATTTACTAAAATAATTGCATTTCCATGTTTTATGTACTGTGGGAGACCAGATATAGTGAATGCAGGGTCATGGGTTTATTAACACTTTAAATCACATTTTAAAGCTAAAACATTTCCCTGGTGCCTACATGGCAGGATACTACTAGCAATAGAGCTCCACCCCTATCCCCACTTACAGTGACCCTTTTTGTCTTCAAGACCTTTCACCTGCAGAACAGTGTGTCTATGTCCCTTACTTACCAAGTTGTTTCAGGCCCATGCACCAAGCGCCACGTTAACGCGCCGCTCTGGCTTAAGCCTTTCTCATGGACAGTCCCTGCACTTTTGATTTGTTTCCCGAGTCCTCTTTCTGTCCTCTTTGGACTTCATTATGTTGTTTTTTCCTTTCCTAAGACTCTGTTGCTTGATTTTTTCAACCCAGAGCTCCATTGGCTGTGCGAGCACACATGAGGGTCTACAACCGCCTTCAGCACGTGTATTGTTTCCTGTGCCTCTGTCGACCATCTTGTTTTAGGCAATAAATACAAAGATTTGTATTTGATTATGTGTTCTACAATTTTAGACTGAGGCTGGCCAATAAATAAAGCTAACAGATTCCTCCATCCTGCTATACAGCATAGATACAAGAATGTCCCACTGAGGCTATTATATGTACCACCCTGCACTGGAGGTTATCAGAATACCTGAACAGTGTCTGCATCTAAATGGTTGCAGCTACTGTTCGGCTGACACTTTTCTGCCTGGCTCTTTCGATTATTCAATCAAAGGAAGCTGGGCAGGAGGGTGCAAATTTCGTTCAGTTCATCAGGCTTAAACATTTGACCATTACAATATTTGTAATTATTGATGCTTCTTACCACCCAATTCACCATTGGTCCTGATTAAGTGGATCTATCTGTGAAAATATATTGACCATTTATTGATGGGTAAAATAATGATACCATTATTAAGTTGTGAATATTATAAATAATTGTAGTCTAGATGCCTTAACGCACCAAGCATATGTGTATGTTAGTTCCAGAATGCTGTATTCTAGAGTCCCCTATTATAATACTCTGTTTTTGCTGCAAGTCTTCCACAAATAACATCTATTCTGCATTTACAATATTTGCAACAGGTCAGGGGTTTGACCTGTGTAATCCTATGCAATGTCTCACATGTGCTCTCATTCCTTCAAATTGGGCTAAAAATAGGCCTCAGCCATAGCTCTTTAAACTATTGTAGCAGACACAAAGACGAAATTGACAAGTTATCATGTAGCACCCTCCTAGATAGATGCTGGGAGTACATAGATTTCGTTCTGGCTCACTGTATCCAGTTGCAGTTGGAGTTGCATTTTGTTGTTAAGTAAATTTAGCTTGTCTCACTGTACTCAGTGTGGCTGCAATCCTGGGTTAGACAAATTCAGTTCTAGCTCAATGTAGTCAGTGCAGCTGTATATGATTGTTTAGGATTTACTCTGTGTCTTCTAGACTGCAGATTTAATTGTTCTCACTTTGTATCTCCAGAGTCACCTGGATAGTTTTGGAACATAGGTATGGAGTATTATAAATAGGCAGCAAGGATATTTATACAGTTCCAGGCAATCTTTGTGAGCCCTGCACAGGTGGCTGCTGGGAAATGGGTATAAATAGTCTGAGATCTAAAGTCTGCTTGTCTTGTCCTGGAGAGAAAGAATCCAGCCTAGAGGGCCTTCTGTCCTCTGGGCAGTCCTGCCATGTGCTTGCTGTTCGTGAGGCTGCAACTGGGCTAGCTGAGAGGCCTGGAAGCTGAATGAGGGACTGTCTTTTGTTGGATCTGGTCTGGGATCACTGGTAGAGGTATCTGGAGGACAATTGGAGGAGGCATCCATTCATCTGAAGACATTTGTGAGCACATACTGCGTGGGAGATCCTAGAGACTGGGCTGCTGCTACTACTCCTCTGGTGCTTGAGAGTCAGCTGAGAGTGCAGGAAAGGGGGGATACTGGTTGGGATCCTAAAGATCTTAGTTCATCTTGTTCTCTGTTAAAGGGACTCTGGTCACTTTGCTTAAAGAAAGAAGTTTGTGCCTTTGTCTGCTTTAACTAAGCTAAGTCCATTATGAGCACCTACAAGGGTTGCGCTTAAAGTGCTGCAGAAGAAAGTCTGTGTCCTCATCGTGTACATATTCCTTTTTGGAGCATCCCATTCATCCCCAATCTCTATCCACATTATCCCTAAAAATAAAAAACACCAAAAGAACTCCCTGCTCAATTTACTAGCCAAAGTGTGACTGTGTTCATTTGCCTGGGCTGTGGGGCAATCTTTGGTAAAATACCTCAGGGACCTATCTAACTGCTGGCCCCTATCTGGTAGGGGGGGGGGGGGGGGTACCGCTAAAATCATTTGGCTGAGCAATTTATGGAGATACTCCTAAAGTTACAAACCACTAAAGGAAATTCCTTTCCACAATAAGACCTAACTTTGTTGTTAGATATGCTCTCATTTGCAGCTACAGAAGAATGTTCTATGTGGAACACAACAGTTTACTTCCTGACAGAGTGTTACTCAGGACACTCTACGGCCTCATTTCCATGGGTCGTGCAACACCATATGCCCATGAAGGGCCCTGTTTACCTGCATGGAGCATTTCTTCAAGCTACATCATCATTCAGCTTTTCAAACAGACTTTTCATTCTGCTAAGTAGAAGACTCAGGAGGAAGGAGGTAACCTTAAGAGCATACAGGGCTGTCAGGCAGGATCCTCCAGCAGTGGTGAAAAAACTCATTCAACAAGGTCCATCTTGAGTTCTTGGACGGCACAAGAAACAATTTGCAGTGCAGTCATCACAAAAAACCTTCCTTGAGCGCCATAAAGTAGATCCTGTGTAATATTGGAAAAAAATTATACTAATGCAGATGGGACATGAGAACAATATGGCTTGGAAAGGATCTTGATTTGAAGCAGATGACAGTTTTCGCAGCCAGTCTGCAGTAAACTGGACTAGAAGAATGCTCAAGGTCGTTATCATCTGACAAGTAGGAATCCAGGGGCTATTCAACCTCCCCCCCCAAAACACACCTGGCAAGCATAGGGCCTGAAGGGTGATGGATTGGATGGACATCCTGTGTGATCAGCTGCTCAAAAGAAACTCACTATTGAACCTGGGAGAGGAATGAACTTTTATGACCTTTGGTGCAAGATGACTGTGATCACTCACCTCCAGCTGAGGTGTGGGTCTCACGTCTGGATAAGATGCACCCTGGCATAAGACAGAGAAAGAGAGAATGGGAGTGTGTGTTAAACTAGAGAAGACCCCCTTATTCCCGTCACCTCATTCCCTTTTCCCCTTTCCTTATTTGTAACTGTAATGTATTTACCTCCCTAATTTGTAAATAAACCCAACCCATATTTGTCAGAGTTAGTCGTCCTTCTTGGAACAAGACACTCCTAACAGCACATTTTACATCCTGGAACCTTAACCACAGTCGAATTTAGAAACAAAAATGTATGCTTCTGTTTCTTGTACTAATAAATGTTGACTAACTGATTAACGGAGCAATTTTCTTCCAGTAAGCTAGTTATTTATTGCTAGCATACTGCCATGTAGGCACCAGAAAATATGAAAATTGTATCAATTACCTATCCCTGTGCCAATCCATGGCAGTGTACAAACCATACATACTACATTTAAGACGTAATCACTGGATCTCTGTGATTTTCTATGCAATGCAAGTAGATCATGGCTGGTGGGTGTTGTACAGAGATTTCTGAAAAAAATCACAGCACCTGGCACTTGGGAGAAGGTATGCAAATATTAAAAACCTTGCAGGATGGATGTCAGTCTAGAGGTATGGGAGTTCCTAGACAGAATACATTTTCATGCAGAGCACCCTCATAACATATACATGTTTTGCTGAGCCCCCACGAATGAAAAAAACTGAAAAAAAATCATTGAAAGGGGAAGGCCAAGGACAGTAAGGCCAGGGAAGAAAGTGCTAAATGATGTTGGTTGTCTTCCAGTCAGGAAATGAGATGTGATCTGATTTGAAGCCCTTTCTAATGCTTTCTCTGAGAAGCTTGCAGTGTGCTGTGAATTCAAAGTAAGCAATTTCAGTACAGGAGAGGAGCCTGCACAATTGTGCAAGAGTAAAGGGAAGGTTGGAGTTCTAACTTTTACAATGCTGAAACGTCAACATATCAGTTTACATATATTATAAATAGTGCAGAAAACAGCATACAAATGACATTCTTTTTAAAGCAAAACTTCAAGCAAATAGGGAAGGTACGCTCTTCCTCCTTCCTCTTTAACTTTTGGCACACATTTTTTTGGCGGAGGGTGCAGGTACCTGGTTTTGACCAGGCGATCCAAACAGAACATCTCCCCTCCACCTCCCTGCCTACATCCTTCTATGATATGTCACAGGTCCCAGAAGGCTGCTGGACCATTCAATAAGAGCAGTGTGGTTTGCGCATGCATGTGCAGTGGGCAGCTGGCTGTGACGCCACAAAGAGTCACAGCCAGCTGCCCGCAGTTATGATGCTGGGGACTGAAGAGTGGTAAAGAAACCGTTTTGGGCGAGGACAGCGCAGGATCCTTGGACAGGCGAGTGTCTGTTTATTAAATGTCAGGAACTGGAGTTTTTGTAGCTGCTGGCTTTGAATTTTTGCCGAAAAAAATAAATAAAACAATATAAAATTGTGATAGTAAACATGGAAAACTGGGCCAGTTTTATTGTGCTTCCTTCCATGACCACAGATTGTTTGATTATATGGTTCTATATATCTCTCCAAAGAAAAGTAGTTGATTTCAGCATGTGATGTTATATTAATGTCCTATTTTTCCCCTGAAGACTTTTTAATTAAAGAAAAGCTAATAAAGTTGGGGTAGCCTGTTCTCTTACTCTAAACTCTTGCTACCCTAGTCCCTAGGCCTCATGGCCTTATGATAAATTACATCATGCATCCTAATTTCTTGGCTCAGACCTGCCATGCTGTGTTACCATTACTCTCTGAACATATTTTTCATATTTTTGCCACAGGGCGGGTATGCACATTTGAACAACTGGAACGTGTAAGGGAAATGCAAGAACAGTTAGCTCGTCTTCATTTCAGTCTAGATGTATGTGCAGAAGAGCTAAGAGAAGAGACGCATGCAGAGAGGAACTTGGAGCAGCTACTAAATAATGTAAGTGATCATATATACACCTCTTAAGTATTATATTCTCTAAAGTGCACATTGCCAACACAGCTTACATGTAAGGCTGCTTTCACACTGATCCGTTTTTTTTCTGTTTTTGCTTTACCAAAAGTGGAGGAAGAAATGCATGACCATTAAAATTCTATGCTATGGAGCTCCTCACACCAGTCAGTTGCACTTTTAAAAGTCCTGCATGCTGTATTTTTTGGTGCATGTTTGGTGTGGTCAAACAAACTGCACCAAAAACGTATATCTCCCTATTGAAATGAATGCAAAAAAACATCACAAACACAGTGAAAACTCATCAAAAACACACCCTCAGTTGTGGTTTTTTTAAGTCACATGTCCTTTTTTTTTACAGGTGCAAAATTCACCAGAAACACGGCAAAAATTATGTATTTTTTCCACGTTTTTGCAACAGGATAATGTGAAACCAGTCTAACTGTAAACAATATAAAAATTGCTGTGGACCTTTTGCAGTAGTTACATAGCTAGTGCTCATTTTACTGGATAACTTAACCTCTTGGCGCCAGCCGCACGCAAATGTGCAGCCTCCCAGCGTCTGGGCCTTGACGCCGAGTGGCCGCCCATTTAAGTGCAATTAAGAAAAACATATGTGCTGAGAGCACGCGCCTTACACGCTCCCAACACACATGTCCGGCACACAGCGGTCACATGACCCTAAAACTCTGCCCCGCCTCCTGGCTTTTAAAACCCTTACAGGGCTGGGAGGCGCCGGTGCCAAGGGGTTAAAGGAGTAGTATAGCCAAAGCTATTTTGGCTATGCTTATCCTATGGATCACAGGATTGCAGTTAGTTCTGCACTCCTGTGATCTGTTTTCAGCCAACAGTGGCCTAAAGCCTTCTGTCGGTTGACATCTCTCTGATGGTCCAGGTTCAGGAAAATCCTGACTTTAAAGTCGGGATCCACCCAGATGCCTGGCTCGGCAGCGGTTTAGCCTCTCAGTGAGCCACTGGGAGCCTGAGCCGCTCCCTCCACAGCCCAGCTGGAGTGGCAGAGCACAGAGCTGGTGACTGATAGTCAGGGGCTCCTGCAGGCTGAAGACCGGGAGCTGAGCGATTGGCAGTGTTTGATCATTCAGTTCTCGGTCGTGGAGGAGGCGGGGGACAGCTACAGCTGGGATCAGTGCTGCAGCCATCTAAGCGAGTATGACTGTTAATTTTTTTGAAAGCCATACTTCTCTTTTAAAGTGAAACTACACTATATCTGTGCACCACACAAATCAAAAATGCTATTTAATTCATTTTTATTATTCAGAGCAAACTCCCCCATGCATCCATGTCTCCATGCTTTATTTTGCAGAGATATCACCTTGAAAACCACCCCCCTAGCATTTCTTCCGTGGCCTTCTTGAGTAAGGGCAGATGATTCATGTAGCCTTTACTTCCGGGAATCCATCTGCCCTTAGCCCAGGCATATATACTTTCTGTGCTTAGCTGAGAAAGGCCCGTTTCCCCTCCTGAAGACTCCTGGGATGTATGACATCATTTGCCTAAGCCAAAAACCAGGAAGTAACTGAAGAAATGTAAAAAAAAAAAAAGTTAAAAACAAGCAAATATGTTATATTTTCCTATCTGCAGTATTTACTAATGCTAGCAGCATAAGGATTAAAAATAGTCAATATTGATTGATAGGGTGAAGTTTCTCTTTAAGATCAAGTTTTAAGCTTTTGGGATAACTTCTTCAGGCTTTATACAATGGTTCAGAAACCTGCATATTTATAAACAACATACAAGGAGGAGCAATGACATATACATGTGAAAAAAAAAGGGGGGCTTTTTTATCACACACTGTAGTGGTAAAAGCTATTGTAATGCTTGCTATTCATGGATTGAAATGTGTCTGGTTCAGCAGGGACCAGGAAACGTTAGATCCATGTATGGGCTGGCTGGTTGTACCCAAGTCAATCTATCCTGTCAGGTTTTTCATGATCAGTGCCGCCAGCTATAGCCAACAGCACTGATCATTGTATTCTATCCAGTGGTTGAACGGAAAAAAAATGAATCATGTATGACCTGCCTAAGAGATCAGAGATTAGAGGTGTTATTGGGACATTATCTCACAGATTCACAGATAAGGATTTCATGGTATTGTCTATATTCCCATCACACATGTTCCTGGAAACTGGGCTCATCAGTAATGGGTGCTGCAGCAACCACCAGCTGGATACTGGACTCTTCACAGATCAACACACATATTCGCCAGCACCGTTACATGCCTGACAAAGGGGTCCTGCGTGGCTCCAAAAGGTTACACTTGGCCCTTTGTGCTGTGATCTTTCTGCAGTTAAAGTTTTGGACAACATTTGATGATCCATGGTGAGCTGGCAAATATGTGCATTTATCCAAGATTAGGATGTCAGGCTCAATTCTCAAGAGGTGCTTCTCTCCTTTTTCTGATCTACAGAAGTTGCTACAGCTTATTTGGAAGCCTTGCCCTCAGTGCCACACGGAATCCTACGCTCTTCATACAGTAGCCACTAATACCACGATCACCCATACTACCATTTCCCAGGACTTTGCAGTGTTTGCGCTGTTACAACCCTTCCTCAGTTCTCAACACAAATGTCTTTTTGAAATGTCCATAGAAGCAAATACAGCTATTGTCACCTCATTGCATCCTTTTGAACTGTCCATTGTTTTGGTCGAAAGCATGAGAAAAACAGGCTTTTGATTTCAGAGGCCTAAAATTGAATGCAGTTATAGTGGGATATAAAATTGCAGTCTGTTTAGACCCCAGTGCAGTGTTTGATTTGCGTATACAGTTGCATTTTCACTCCAGCCTCTCTTTTCTTGATTTAGTTCTTCACCAATACCATAATTTTTAGATCATTTATGCTGTGGTCTGTGCTGCAGAAATGTGCTGCCACAAGCATATCTGTTTTTTGTTGTTGGTAATTGTGAATCTTTGAAGGTTCATTTGTTGGCAAAATGTTTGACCTGTCTCCCCAAAACAGAGTCTTGTTGAGCATTTTGCATACAGTACCAGGTATATCACCAATTGAGGATGTGCAACAAAAGTTGCCCTGTATTCTGTACTCTTGCTGTAGTCTTGGTATTGTTATCAGTACTGTGGATTTGTGTGCAGGTGTCACATGTAGGGAGATGTTCCATTGGTGCAGGCTGCAATTACATCTTCATGGGGAATGTTGGTATAAAACACTCTGGCTAGGTTGGTTCTTCAAGTACAGGGCCAAAGGCAGTAATTATGTTTATGAGAATGGTCCTGGTTGTTCTTTTCAAGGAACTGATGACTGTTTTTTTTTTCCTGTGCAGATACTGTGGGTTTTGTACCTGCCTTATTTTTTTCCCCTTGCAGAGTACTGTTGGTGGCTGTGTCTGAAAATGGTAAATATATTTGCCCAGACTAGGGTTCGTTCCAGGTGTAGATGGCCAGTGCCCTTTGCTGTAGAATAGTTTTTTTTTGTTTTATTTAAGCTGTTTTGATCCATCTTGTCAAAGAAGTATTTAAGCCATAGTTTTCTAAAAATTTCCTCCACATCACTGCATAACTGGATTTTGTGAATAGATTTTGTTGGGCAAAATGTAAGGACTTTTAAAGTACAGGTGTTTCTGTAGGTCAAAAGGATGCAATGAGATGACACATTTGAGGTGACAATGGCTGTATTTGCTTCTATGGGTATTTCAAAACCACTGGTATTTGAGGTGAGAATTGTGCCGGAAATCCTTGGTGAGTTAACTGCCTCAATAAGACCTATAAACTCTGATATCTCACAATAATGAATCTGTGTCAAAGATATAACTAGAACCTTCAGGACCCCTGGTGCAAGAAACTATGAAGGGCCCCCCTGACCTCTGCCGGGGCCTATCCCTCAAAGCCTGGTGCCCTTCCCTCCCGTCCTGGGGCTCTTTCACATGCTCTGCAGCGGGCCTCCTTCCTGCCATCTTGGCATATTTACCAGCCCCTTCCCCCCTGCGCTCCATCCTGATACATCCCCCTCTGCAGCTGGCAGGAGAGGGAAGGGGGGAAACTGGCAGAGCTGTGGGGGAATGAGAGGGGGGTCAGGGGGCAGCAGGGAATGGTAACCAGGATAGGAGGGGCAGCAGGGGGTGGCTTATAAAGAAACCAATCCCATCATTTTCCTTCTGCAGCCGCTGAATGCTTGCGGGAAGGAGAGAAGGAAGAGCAGACTTTTAATGGGTGCAGGAGGAAATTGGAGGGCATCTGTTCCTCTGTATGTCGCCCCTGCCACAGCTCCTATCCAAGTGTGCAGGGGAGCCACAGGAGCCCCCTGGAGAATGGGGCCAGGTCACTATTGTGACCCATGCAACCCCTGTAGTTACGTTCCTGATCTCTGTGATATAAAACCTATTGCTCTAAATATATCAATAGCTTTTACCAATAAGGCCAGGGTGGATTGCACACTAGCTGCTGTGCTTGTAATCCCAGCATTTTAGTGCATACAGGTGGCACAGATGCAGCATCCAACCCCATGGTCAGCAGCATGTCAAATTCTAAAAAATGGCAGGCTGATTTATGTGCAGCTGGATGGGGCTATATGCTGTTCTAAGTGGTAGTCATATTTAGGGTCCTTGGCATATTTTAACTACCATTGACTATAGCAGGAGGCAGGCAGCAAGTCTGGACACTGCAACTGTGTCTCCCAGGCATAGTAAAAATGCTGGGACTGCACACCTGGCAGCTATATCCCACTTGTGCTAGGGGGCCTAAGGTGTGTCAAGAAAAAAGTATTTTTAAAAGAAATTATATACTGTATGTCATTGCTCTTCTTTGTAACTTTGTATATAAATATGCCGGTTTTTCAACCATTTTTCTTAAAGCCTGAAGAAGTGATCAAAGTTATCCCTAGAACTTGCATCTTTATTAACTTAAGTTAGGCAATAAATTGTATCACTTAGACTCCATTCACACTAGTGCGATTCAGAAATGACTTGAGTCGCACAGAACCACATGACAATGGAAATCACATTGTTTTCATTGTTACCCATTTATGTCAAAGCAA